ACGAAATCAAATGAAAAAGATTCTTGCCTACGTCGACGATTGTTAACAAGAAAATAATCACCACAAAATTTCATAGTTATGTGTTGTTTAAAAACAAACATACGTACACGGTACACATAAAAACTAATCTTGTCATTCATAATCTCAGTTTTCACAATTGACTGTAACTTGAGCGACACGTGTAAAAATGAGCGATTAATGTTGTTTTGTTGTTGCTGTTGACCGGTTTGTGTTTCTGGTAGCGAACACACATTTTAGTAACTAACATTACAGTTTAAACTTTGAGAAAATATAATTCGATCGAATGTCTCAGACAACATTGTAAAATGTAATCAATAAATTAACCATAAATATAACTAAATGTAATCTGATAACGTGACAGGGCCATTGCACCTGGCGCAACCGAAGGTTTTTAATGTGGCAACCCAGGTTCGTATTTTATTAAAATTTGGGTTTAGTATAATTAATTCAATAACCTCCAATATTTGATTGGTATATTTAAAACACTTGAAACTAGGTACCGCCCAACTTCGAATGAAGAGACAGAAACCAATCGACTCAAATACCAAGGATTTGTGGTCCCGTTATTTATAATATTCAGCTGTAAACCGGAATTTAGTTAAACCAAAGCTGGACCAAAGTTATTATTGCTTCCTTTCTTAATTGTTTTTGCCAGAACTTCATTTTTATCCAATTCAAATGGAGTAATGGATACCTACCTTATCATATGAAGAAGATGCAAAACATTTATTTTCAGTAATTTCAGTCGTTATACTTAAGATGTTACCGTGCTACATTTTATATATGAAGTCATATTTCATATTTCGCAAAATTATAGAACTTTTTGTCAAATCTAGAAAGATAAGAACGTGGTTTGATTATATATATATATATATATATTTATATAAAGATGATTTAAAATAATGGAATCATGTGGTTAGACTTAATGAGACGTGGTGGAAGATGGTGATTAACTTCAAGTCCATGGAAGAGTTTTCTTGCATGGTACATGACTTATATCCACATGCTGTTTACATATATACATTATGCGCACATATATTTATAAATATAAAGCTACTGTGGTCAAATGGCTAGCAACGAGGTTCTCTAATTCCCACATTATGGCAACCAACTAATGATTTTAAATTATTTTTAGTTTAAATAGTAATGTTTCTTCATTTGTAACCAACTATAGTTTCGATTTATCACGGCTTTATGCTCCCTTATTATCCAATTTCTTTTTGGCTCGACGATTATCTTCGTAAGTAATTTGCATGTACCAAAGAACTAAATTTATAAGAAATCCCACATGAGTTACTAGTGCAAATGAGAAATATGAATATATATCTTTTTTTTTTTTGATAAAGGATACGAATATATATCATTGAGCTTAAGCAGGTAGAATAATTATTTATAGATTTAGTATTATTTGGACCAGCCGCCGTTCATCCAATTTCCCCCATGAAGAAATTATAGCTGTATTATGCAAAAACATTGAGTAGTGGCTTAATATTCCAGTTTCGATTTTCATTTCACAAGGAATTTTCTGTTATATTATTACGGCGCTAGAAAATTATAAATAATGATCAAGAATTAATTATGCATCGGTTTTATAATCGTCGGCGAACATCCGTAACTAACAAGAGTGGATGGACATGAACCGAATTAAACTAAAATCTCAACAAAAAAGAGGTATTTATTCAGCCTTATTGGTTAGAGAATCGAGATCAAGTTTGGAATGTCAAAAAATTGTCGACGTCCAAAAAGGATAATGCATGAACATTCATGAAGAGCCACGTCCTTTCTTCACCCTTCGATCAACCCTTGAGATGCTCTAGAAACATTTGTTTACTTCACTAATCCGATTCTATTAGTTTTATATTAGAAAAACAATTTTTTTATGACTTTGATCAAACTAATGTGCCACATGCACATTCTTCGTATACCATACGTCCCGCGCATATCGGTATTTTTTTCTCTATCACGTGACACTGCATATGCTATTTACATATATGTAAACTTTATGTTATTGTAGTAACTTACAGGAGTTACGTAAAGAGTTCATCAGTTGGAGACCGTCCATAAGCTATAAATTAATATTAGATATTCCTAATCTGATTTAACGCAAGGTCAGTAAAAGTCCATTTGATTATGCCCATAACTAAAAGTTGGACATGTGTGGAAAAAAAATGGACTTTCCATATCTAGAAAGTCAAATTGGTTACGTTTCTTTTCTTGTTGTATATGTATTATGCAAGTCATAGGAGGAAAATAAAAAGTAACAACTCTTGATTAGTCACCACATAAAGCATTCCGAAACAATTTTCTATCGTTTGGTTGGCTACAGAGAACCGACAAACGATACGAGATTATACTTAATTATCGGTTAGGAATTAAAAGTTTCTCCGAACATATTTGCTTTGTAATGCATGAATGGACAATAAATCACCTATAGTTTTCCTAATTTCCTTTATCCATATAGCTATCTTTTTATTTAGATGCCTAGCTTTGTGCCTAAAATAAAATAAAAAGGCCTAGCTTCTTTGATCTCAGTCAATATTAGAGTCCAAAATTCCTCTTTGTGGAGGATCCTTTCTTGATCTGAAACTACCAACATAATTAAATTACATGACACGTACGTTCTTAATATCTTAGTTAGAGTTTCTGAGAGCTGAACGGTTATTTTCTAATGGATATTGTCTCTTTCAGAGCACCGACGTCTTACTATTATTATGAGGCTAATCTTCAAATTAGTTTTCTCTTTATCTGCTTAGGCGTGAAGGATCATACATTCATACACCCTAGTCTCTTAGCTTACATAGAATTTTAGTTCTACGTTGTCGTCATTATTATCAGTATTGCTTTAAATTTTTAAGTCAAGAATGCTAAAATATTTCTCATAAATAGTGTTAACAAAACTTATTCGCAAAAGATATGACTAAATATGTAGTTTGGTGTATATGACATTATGACTTGTGAATCATGATCCATGCTGCAAATGAATTTTTGAAACAGATATCGCACCTAATCCCCACAACGTTGTAGTTTTTACTCTAAATAGTATTCATTGATTCATGTATCAGTCAGTATGCATATATATTCATATAGTTTTTTTTTTGGTGTGTATATATATTCATAGAGTTAGATAATAAACGAAACAACAGAATCTTAAAGTCAACTAATATTTAATTCATCTTATAATACATTCGTTAGACTTGTTGTTGAATGAACCCCCTCTTAATAATGAAATTCCGACATAGTTGCAGAATTTTAAAATATCTCATTTGAATAATCCTCACAGCTTTAAAAGTCAACTAATATTTATTATATTAATCGATTGGGAGAAGATTGGTCCATTTAGCAATGAACATTGATTATCCATATAGGAAGAAAAAAACAAAAATGTAAACACGAAATGTACCACGACCACGAGGGAGATGGTGTTAAACCATACATACCATATTGCTAGAAGAAAATATGTTACAAAGACTTGTATTATGGTCCCTCTGGTTAGAAAAACTCAATTTTTTTGTCAAATATTTTTTTTGTCAAAGAAGAAAAAATTCAATATGGTCCTGGGAAGTGGGAAGATCCAAGTGGACTCATTTTAAATAACTAGCTACATTAATTTCGTTATATACTCCCGGGGGTTTTTTTTTGTCGTGTAACGATTTAATATAATTACATGGAAGTATTTCATTACATCAGGTAAATGAGTTAACATACAGAGTAAAAATTTAAAAAATTTCTACATCCATCAGTCACAAAAAACAATTCAACACAATCGTCAATAATCTTTCTCTATTATAGTTCTGTATACAAAATTCTAACTTTTTATAAAGAAATTATATATTTGTTACATTGCTTATCAACAATATGGTACTGTCATAAATTGTGTTTAGAAGCAGTGACAAATTATACATATCAAAAGTTGATTCAAAGATATTATCAACAATACATGGATTTTTCTTGTCCCGTCTAAATTTTGTTAATAGTACTTAATTATGGTTATTAAAAATATATGAAACTGAGATTGTATAATATGGAAAAAGAAACTTGAATTACTAGACCCATATCAAGCCCATAAACTTTTCTATTTTTGTCCACGAAACTGCGAAGCCTTTCTTTTCCGATTCAGTTGAAGATAATGGAGATCCTCTACTGTTGGAAATAATATTTTTAATAAAAAATCCAATATTGTGAAAGACGCATGCGCAAGAGCTGTATTAACTCGTATGATTCCATGATTTAATGTGGTATTTGCTAGTATTAAAATTGCGTGATTACATGCATAAATGTAATTGCATGAGAAAAGAAGAAGATATATACTTCTTTGATGTTACTAAAAGAAGAAGAAAAAACAACAACTGTTGTCGTACGTTGTGAAGGGCGAAATGAGTTCGGAAACCACAGAAATTGTCGTATGGAGCGTCATCGCCGTTATCATCGTGTTGTCAGCTCTTATATCGTGGCGGGTTAGCATCATATTACGAAAGAATGACTTGTGGTTGTTGTCGTGATGATGATTAGGTAATTTTTTTGTCATCAGTTTATTTATTTGCAAGTAAATTCTACATGTTTTTTTTTTTGGGATTTCGGAATTAATATAGTAACGAAATTTTATGCAGCAATTTTATGCTTATATATGAATGAAGATACAATTACTCGATTCCATTTCCTTTTCTGTATGATTTTTACAGGGTTAAAGAATCAATGATTTGAAGATAAGCGTACAGCTGCACAACCGGTTATTTATTTGTTGTTTTTTTTTGTATATATTTTGATAATTGGTCAGTGCCACAAATGTACGTTACTATTACATAATAGCATAAGTATATAAATAAACATTGATAGTGTTCTAATCAAGAAAACATAAATGAAATAACTTAAATCAAGAAATGCCAATAGAAAGATATAGATAATCTTCAAATGATAAATTTGGTTCATACTCTTCACATTGCACAAATAGACTCTCAATCAATGGATTTCATCAATGCTGCTTAGGTCCTCTGTCTTCTCTCCATTCCAATCTCATTATATCCAGAAATAAGAGTATTAGGGATCCGAGCATCGAACGGAAGACCTCCAAGCTCCCACTCTCTATATATCACCTCTGCACCTTCAATGTCACCTAGAGTCAAGAGTGAACTTATCACAGCTCTATATCCTTCATTGCTCTGACCAGTGTTCTTGTGAAGCTCCCAAATCCGGTACACGTCTTCTCTCTCTCCCACAGCACCATACTCACTCATGAGCGCCTCGTAAGCCGGTTTCTTCGACGTGGAATCTACCAACAGCTCTGTTCTGTGAAGCATCGCTAACGACTTCTCCGTCGAACCAGTTTTCAGGTAAGCCTTTGCCATGTCTAAGCACGTTCCCCACTCAAGTTTGATTCTAGGGTTGCTACTCAGAAACTTCTCCATCGCCTTGATGTCGGTCACAGCTGCGTACACCGAGAGCGCGTAGTTCGATGTGAGATCATCAGGCTCGACGCTGTTCTCTTCCATCTCGCTCAGGAGCTGTTTGACGCTTTCTTGGTTTCTCATGGGACTGTAGAGAGATAGCATCAGATTGTATGGAGAAGGTTTCAAGAGGAAACCGAGCTCTCTCATCTTCTCGAAAACGGCTTCTGCTTTGTCAAGAGTTTTGTCGGATCTTGTGTACAAGGTTAAGAGAGTAGTGTAGACAGTGTAGTCCTTCATTGTCTCTGGAATGGTTTCGAAGAACCTCTCTGCTTCTTTCAGACCTAAAACCGTCTCCATCAGCTGAATCCGAGACGCAACATCTTCAGGAAACAGAGTGTAAACCCTATGTGAACTCATCCATTCCGATATCTAAAAACAAGATAAGAATACTAATTAATATGATATGAATACGTAAAAAGAAAAAGGTTTTAAACTGACAAAATTGATATTTTGGAAGAAATAAATTTGGTTTTAGATTGAAACCTGGAGAGCATGGGAAAATTGTTCGGAGTCTTGGAGCTTCTTGATGATGCATCTGAGATCTGAAGGCTTCACTTGATTCCCTTGTTCGCGCCATTGCTCAAGGACTTGAACGACTGGTGTTTTCTGATCTAACGCCGTAGCGATCCGAAGGTGCAAAGGGTTGTTCCGGTGAGGAGATGTTAGGGTTCCGGCGTGGCGAACGCGTGAAATAGTATTGCGACCTAGGATCCGCCTTGCTTGTGGCACAAGAAACTTCATCGTATGGCTCATTTGTTTCGATTTTTTTTTGTTTGTTTGTTTCTTAAATCGATGTATCGTATATATATAACGAGGACGTTAGGCTTGTGTAGCAAGGATTTTTTTGTTTCTTTTTGGTTTTGCTTTCCCATCAAGTTGTGGAGTCTGGTTATTAAAAAAATATTAATTAATTAGATAACCTTTTTCTTATATATATCCAAGAGAAAATTATTAGTAATCGTATTTTTCTCTATTTATTGTTAAAAACAAAAATATATTTAAAAACTCTAAATCGAAAGATTTTTTTTTTTTGGTATAGGAAAAAAAATGTACAACTCAATACCCAAAAAGAAAATATAGTATATATAACTCATCAATCTTCTCAAACCCTAGACCGTGTCGATCTCTTTCTCTCCAAGATTAGGCGAATCCGTCTTGTCTTGTCTCTTATACGAACTCATTGTCGAGAGATTGTGGTTGTGAGAGATGGGTTTGTCTCTGAAGAGCAAAAGACTAAGACAAGCACAACCGGAGATTCAGATTCCAATGGAGTTGGTGACAGAGATCCTTACGAGTTTGCCTACTAAATCCCTAATGAGATTCAACTGCGTCTCAAAGCTTTTGTCATCTCTCATTCGATCCCAATATTTTACAAACCGTATTCATAAGTTCCCATCACAACGTCTTTACATGTGTTTATCCGTCCGCAACGATAATCGTAAAACTGTAATCCTGTCATCAGCTCCAGACGCTACTACTACTACTACTACTCCGTCTACTTCCTTTGTGGTTAACCACGAACTGACCATCCCATACATGAACCTAAGAAACATGCAGAGTCTTTGTGGCTTCATGTGCGAGGGTAACTCATATTTTAGAATGCCTCGAATCTACAACCCTGCCACCAGACAACTTGTGAACTTACCAACCAGGTATTCAGATTCTCGACAAAAATCCAGGGCATTCTATTATTTCGGACACGACCCTGTTAACAATCAGTACAAAGTATGCTCAATTGAGGTTCAGAATCCAGAGCATTGGGTCTTAGTCCTAAAACCTGGAGCCTCTTGGAAAAAGGCGGCTCCGACTTCATTTGACTTTTGTCCTTATCCCCAACCAGGAATTTCTATCAATGGGGTTATATATTACATGGCTTTCGCTGATAAGTATAAGTATAACTATATTGTTATGCTTGTGAGCTTCGACATTGGATCTGAAGAGTTCGAAACGATCCAAATGCCTCCTATAGAAGTTACGTCCGATAAGGTGAGACTTATAGAGTATGATGGAAAATTAACTGTGTTTGAGCATACCCATCTTATGGAAAAGGGTAAGGTGCATTTATGGGTTTTGAAAGATGTCGGGAACAAGGAATGGTCGAGGAAGACTTTGGTTTTGAAGCACTCTCAGTTCCATTTGGTCGATTTCGACCGTGGCATTGGTTTTGATGTAAAAGGTACAAGTCAAAGTGGCAAGGTTTTACTGATACCAAAATATTTTTGTTCTCCTTTACACATTCTCTGTTATGATCTGCAAAGCAATGATATGAGGAAAATTGACATCAAAGGTATACCAGAGCACTGCTTTAGCAATGGAAGATACGAGTTTGTCGACCTCATGTTTATGGATCAGAGTGAGAGCATTTTGTACTTGGAGACTTGAATCACTCATCTCTACCTCTAATCCATATTTTTGTGTTAGTTTATGAATACAGTTATTTGTTGTTTTGGAAAGATGATGAGCCTGTTAATAAAGTCACTAACCAATAAGCTAAAATAGAGTTTCGTTCTACTAATTCTAGTTTTATGTTTATCATCTATGCATAGTTAAACAAATGCTCCTTCCGTTCCTAATAGATGAAAAACCTATCCAATATATTCAAATCACGTAGCTTTCAAGACCGTGAATTGTGTATGTCACATAATAAAAAGTGCAATGATAAATCCAGTATAGCAATACTATATCTTACCCACTTAAGTCGTTTGATTTTTGTACAAACAAAAACATTGAGCTGTTATATCTTTTGCTATAACATACTGGTGCATTTCACCAGATCTTGAAAACGATCAAAAATTAAAAAGTAAAGCTGAACCAAAAAGAAGAAGAGAAAACTGCACAAAGAAGAACAAAAACTTAACATATGCCTCTCCTCTTCTTCTCCCAGCCAATTGCATAGACCTTAAACGAACTTCTGGGATGATCAGAGACAAGGAATTCAAAGAAACAAATTGGATAATCAATCATTCAATCAATTATCTGGCTGTAACGGTGAAGAATGAAAAATAAATCTGTTAATCTCCAGCGACATTTTGTTGTTGTTCTTGTTCTTCCTGCGTTTACTGGTGTGTTCCTGAAGAGGCAAGTACACCTGCAGCTTCTTTTGGTATCTTCACGATTATATCAAGAAACTGAAAGCTGGGTTTTCTTCAAGTTCTTCTGCTGGCTTCATTTCCGCAAAGTCCGTATCTTGCATTGAACTTGCTAGATCGTCGGACTTGAAGGGAATGCTAAAAAGGACAAAAAGAAAAATTTGGTTTTGGATATAAAGCAGTTAAACAAAACTTCTGCGTAGCCATAATTAAGGAGTTAGGGTCATTTTGTTACCTGGAATCGTCGTCTAACAAGAAGGCGCTGCTGTCCGCGTTGTTGGAATCCTCTGTCATTATCACTCTCATGCTTGCAATTACCTGCTCATGTACATTAGAAGTGGTAGTGTTCAGAGCAAAAGCCTATAAAGGAGAGGAAAGAACAAGAGAGAGAGAGAGAAAGAGAGCTGTTTCTGTGGGAAAGCTTACTTCTTGGGATACACTTCTTGTGTTGTAGCTGTCATCCCAGTACAGTGTACATATTCTGTAAAGTTGCTGGACACTAAGGATCTGCAAGATTAACCACAACATTCAAAATTCAGAAGAAAATTCTTATGCATTTGCGTATAAGGGGTCAGGTCGATAGAGGGACTTACAGGGCATAAATCATGTGCGATGTCATCGTAAGAGATTCTGTACTTCTGGTGGATGACCTGTTGTTAAATGCCAATTCAATCATGAGAACTGCAAAAACCTATGTGGACATAAAAGAAGACTTTCTTATAATCAGAAAAGTGTAAAAGGACATACCAAGAAGCCAACAGCTTGCCTGATATGTTTAAGTTCATCCCAGGAGGAGCCAGCATACTGCAATTCAAGAGAGCAGAATATAATGAGCCAAATCTTGAAACGCATAAATCAATCAAATAATTCACAAAAGTAAAAAAGGGAGATTCAATAGAGAATACTTACTTCTGCTTTTGTTTCGGCGCACCATTCCTCTAATAATGCTAAACCAGCTTTTACAAATTCTCCGTTGCTAAATGTACAGCATTCTCGTCGCAGAAGAAGGCTGCAGAAAAGAATGAATCATAACCCTGTTCTAATAGTGCCTTGCATGAATAATAGACAGTAAACCTATCTCTCACCTGTTAAATAATTGGACATTGATGAATGCAAATGTCTGAGTAAATATCTTTTGGATAAGAACCGGAGAAACCTGAGAATGGAAAAAAAAAACTATAAGATCTTCCGCACATTAAAGAGAAAGAAGATATGACTCCAGAAGACGAGCTGCGTGGATTTCCCATACAAAGTTCTCCTTCAGTGTGTTTAGAAGTGCGTATAAGCCGTCAATAATTCCCTTCCAGTGGTCTAAAGGAGAATCCTTCCCCATTGTCTTCGCAGATCGTAGCGAACGTCCAGTTGATGTTCGCGGTGCCTGCAGAGGTACGTTCATATCAGACATAGAAAGAAAACAAGACTAGTAGTATCAAAGTTAAAAGGAGAAGAATGCTTATTTTTCCTAGCCGACCTGGATGCAAAGGGAAAGCAAAGCTTGCAACTCGTTTTTCAGGTTATCTCGAATTATTCCAAATATATTTTCTACGTAAGCTGTAAGCTGCTGCTTGAAAAGCATAGCTGGATCCTTGGCCTCAACCGGGCGAATCACTGCAGCCGCTGCAGCTGCTGCTGCTGCAGAAGTCTCGGCAGAGGAAGGCGCTGAACGGAAACCCTGGTATATTAGAAGATAATGCGTTAGAAAGTTCTATTAATTTAGGAACAAAACTCTAATAACATATACAAACAAAGGCATATGTACCATGGCCATTCTTCCGAACAAGGAAGTCGTGACAGGTGGTTTTCGCTGTGGAGTGGCACCGGTTCCACCAGGTTTCAGACTTTGTTGGATCATGTACAACAAGGTTGAAGTATTGGACAACCAATATGCCAAATGCTCGTTGTCATCTTCATCCTGATTGTAAAGATGGTAATAACTCAATAGTGATTATATACAGATAATATACGTTTCAGAGGTATGCAAAACCATTTTACTCTGTTTTAGACAATTGACGACAAAAAGACATGACATGTGATTCAGTACCTTGATAGCAGAACCAATCATTTGAACAAGACGATCAAACACATTAGTCCTTTCAGCTTCAAAGGATTTCCAATGAAGGAGGCATTTGTATATCGTAAATGCCGCTACAGGCTTCCCCTGGTTGAATCCGATATTCTTTATTACGCAGTTGATGAGAGCATCAACATTCTCCTATAGCAAGAAAAATAATCTCTTCAATAAAAAATGGCACGTCACATAGTTCAGAAACACAGAATGGAGTAATTAAACAAAACATACATTTTGACGAGCTATTTGCAATCTCCGATTCTTTGCATCAGATTCTTGTTCTTGGATTCTTGTTTGTGATTCATTCTCAGATCCCTGCAGAGGAGACTTTAAAGTTACTGATATTAAAAACACAGGAACATAATTCAGGGAAAAAGGGATAGAAAAGCATGACATGGCTTTACATTGAACAAACTTTCTTGTCTAGGAAAGTGACCATTTTGTGAGTCCTGCAAGTAGGAGAGCAATACTTTAATTATCATGATTGTGTGGCCATCCAAGTATACTTTTTGCTCAGAGATACCTTGACCGGAGTCGGAGGGAGATGTCCTGATGTGTGTAAGAGGGATTTCTGCCTCAATATTTGGTTTTCAGATTCCACATCCAAGATTTTTTCTTGAAGTCTGAAAATTAATATGTGAACAAAAAATGCTTAATTTGAGTGCCAATGGGATCTTTAGTGAATTGACGAAGAGACTCAGAGATGTATAGTGGGTACTCGTGCACAGATTTTTTCAAATTGACAATTGTAGTTTCAGCCTCTAGAGCCTGCTTCAGCCTCTCCTCACTTAATTTGCTTGTCTCCTCGAACTTTTTCTCTGTTTCATCAATCTTCTGGTCCAATGAACTTACCAGGGACTGAAACCAAGTGAGAAACAAAGGAAATATGAAACCTTCCTTCAGATATTGCACAGCTTTGACACCCTTAACAGACGCAAAAAGACAAAAAAAAAAAAAAAGAGAGAGCTAATTATGTACCTTGAGCTTTTCGTTTTCGCTACTTAGCTTCTCCACTAGCTGTGTGTCAACTACAAGAACCTCCTGCAACACAGGAACAACTTCTGCCGTCTTTTTAGCAGCTTCCACTTCCTGTAAGAGAAACGCTTTGGTTTCTTTGAATTGTAGTTGCATTTCCTCCAATGCTGATCGCAGTTTTGCATTTTCTTGTGTTTTACTCTCGTCCATGTCCACCTAAATTGTTAAAGCAACAAAAGTAGATGACGGATATGTTAAATGTCAGAATCCAGTTATTCCAGAGAAAACCTTTTGGAATGAAATTTTTTAAGGATAAGAGGGAGACCAAAGAGATACAGACTTCTCTGTTAACTTACCCTCATACGTTTCTCTAACTGCAGTCTCCATGTGAGTTCTTCCACTTGTTTCTCAAGCTTATTCTTGGCAGCTTGAAGGGCACCCGTTTCCTTTGCAGCCTGCAAGAAATATAAAGGTATCACTGTTGCAACTATTCATATTTTGGGAAAAGTCAACATTTTCTGCCTAAATTTCGAAGACTCTCAAACGGCAAGGATAACTTCCAGCTGCTAGCAACCGCGTCAAAAAAATCAGCTCAATTATAAAACCTCACCTAGTCTATTGCGTAAAATCATATATTCCCATTATATAAGCTCATTTAAAAACCAACATTAGGTGAAGCGTTGCAAAGCGTAGAATGTAAACTGATACACAGAAGCGGATACACACAGAAGTGAAAAGGAAGCTCACCGTCTTAAGCCTCCGCAGTTCTTTACGGGCTAACCTTGCTCTCCATGCACTTTGTGTTGTAATTGTTGCTTTCTTTAGCCTTTGGTAGTGCGACTGGGCCAGGAACTTGCGGCAATGGCTCTGTTATATACAGAGTACAAATTCAAAGTCAGAAGAAAAGCTCGAGACATCTAGAAGATGAACCCAAAAGGGAAAAAAAAACATGTAGCAGTTTCCCATTTTTCAACAGAAATGTGTACAGAACCTGAATTATAATTGCCGCCTTGTTCTGCCTTTGGAACCGTAGCTCGTCACGGGAAGCCATACCACGTATTCCTGATTGAATAAAAACAGCAGCAAAATGTAATTCCTTGTAAGACTTCCTAGCAAGGTGCATCCGTATGTCTCTCTGGATTTCCAAAACAGCAGCTTCTCTACGCAATCTCTCAAAGAGACATCGAGAAAGTTGACCTGTAAATTACGAAAAACAATGCAGAGAATAAATAGTTAGTAACATTTCTCTT